CATCGATGCAGTGGGAACAGCCATCCGAGCCAACAGACGGTTGACTCAGTCCAAGCACGCGAGAAGGAAGTGGTAATTCTATTGACTACAAAAACGAAGTTTTCTCAGGATTCAGATGACGAACGACTATCGATGCCTGAACGTCGTCTAATTCGGTGCCGACATGGCCAGTTTATCTTGAGCCAGGCTGCCTCCCTCCGCCAGGAGCCAATATGGAACACCCTGTTGCGTTGGGCGGACTCTATCAGCGCAGTCGTTACACCGGCTCAAGTAATTCGGTACTTCCAAAACTATTGATGATTCCTTTTGGTGAGACGCTTTCGACGACATTATCAACTGATCGCCGCGGTGTCGTTGTACTAGCGCGGCGATAAGATGATAATGTTTTCAGGTGATTCACCAAGGAGTTTTAGGACGGAGCTCTGAGAGAAGGGCAGCGAAGAATCGACGGGCACACTGCCCAAGGACGGCATCTACGGTCCTGCTCCCATCATGAAGGCGAAGCCCTGGCCACTACTACCATATTGCATCGGAATGATCTCCTTCTGTGTGTAGCTCTCTCTAGTTAATCCTTTGTCTATGCTCTTTGTATTTTTCCCTCCATCAGATGCTCTTATTTGGTTGTGCTGCATTTATGACCAATGTTGGACGATTTACAGATAAATTAGCCTCAATAACAGTTTCTCCACATAAACAGTCATGAAGCACGCTCCGCTGTGCACGCGAGCTCACTCTGACCATATAGTCGTCGAGACATCGCAAACCACTTTCAAAACCGTCAGCGACACCAAAACACCGGCAATAGCTTCGCCAAAAACCACCTGTCGCAGAAATGGGCCCGTTATGTGTTCAAGTCCAGGTACCATCCTTACAATTCGCATTTAAGTCATTTTTCTATTTCTATGATTATGAAATGAAATATGAATCAGGATGGATCGTAACGGTGTCCTAGCCTGTAGCAGCAAATAAGATTTATGAATTTCTTGAAACTTTGTTCATAATCGTTCAGTATGTATACAATAAGAACAATACCCGTAAACATTATAGCAATGACTATCACAGTCATCCATTCAGACGATCAACGAGTTCTGTGCGCAATAATCCATCACATGGTTGATTTGGTCGCACGTCACCTAACAGAGATCTTCATTAGGAACGAAAAAGTATAATTATCGAGTTATTATACAAATTAAATGATTGAACGTCTGATGAAAGCTCATTTTTGTTACCGTTGACGCTGCCATGCAAGTAAGTGATAAAGTCTTGGGCGTTAACAAATCTCGTTTCGGAATGCATCCCACATTCGACCTCCTCTCAGGACTTTAATGGCGGTTTAGATGCCTATGTGCCCTATGAAGGCGGTGGCCAATCGGTGCGAGTGGTTTTGGACTATGAAAGCAGCCACTCGCGGCAACGATTACGGGTCAGTTACTGAAATAGCCCTGTGGAATTTTCAATCTTACCCTTACGTTGCGCGCTCGAATAGGGCATAGGCAAAGACGTGGTCGAGGTTTAAGGTCCCACACCTGTTATTTTCAATAAGATTCATGTTATGAACATTGAGGTGTACCTAAATTCGACCTGAGTCAGACTGTGAAAAACGATTGAACAACAGGCCCCGACGGTTAGATGGAAGTGTAACTGAATATAATATACAAGAGCAACTATGATTCCTAAAGTTACTGGTCTCGACTTCTACGACGTGACTGCAGAGAATTCCTCAAAGATTTCACTCAACGTTTCATAATGAACTTGACCGTACAATGCCAAATTGAAAGCTACTTTCGTCTAAAGTAGATGTTACTTATAGGTTCTGCAGTGGACCACGTTATTGCAACCTCCGTACACCAGGACTGTCAGACATGTCATACAAACTTGTAATTACTGCCGGAACAAGGCGTTCATTTAAGTTCCAGAGTCAGACAGAGTCAGACAAATACCGAAGCATCAAAATTCCCGTTAAATTGGTTCCCCCATAGAGGCTCCAACTGGAAGTTCCGTTCAGTCTGATGCGTTTTCTTCCCCTGAGTGTCATGTGTCTTGTGAAAGGTGTCAGGTGTCAGGACAGGGCCATTTACCCATCTGCAA